TCTCTAAAAACTGTTTTTCTTGTGGTGTCGGATGCAGGTAATTAATTTCATTTGGACTCTTTGCATCTCATCTTCTTCACTTACGTTTTCTTCTTTTCTTCTCGTCAGCCCTAGCGCCTGCAGCAGTTGGACGACTCCATGACACAAGGGACACGCCAAAGTACCAGCATATGACGTCACGTAGACGAACTCACATACAGTCTCCACTAATCTTGCCAATAGCACAATTTTTTGCAGCCTATAACAAAATCCCGGCCCGCCTTGGGCCTTGGCCATGCACCACCGCATAGCTGCAGATGGGTGGCACTAGATGCTTAGTGCTGCGACCATAGGTCACGATGTATCTGACTGCGCGATGACGGACCAATTTGGTCACTGACTGATATCAACCCATTGTTAATTCATCATATAGGCCGAGTCAGCTGAACTTACCCTAAGGAAGTTGTATGGATAACTATTTTCTTAATTAAAAACCCTAACATTTCGCTTCTTATCCACAGTTGACGAGCCCCTCGCCTGGACAGTTTGAGGTCGAGGCAGGTTAGAATAGCGCATGTTTAGGCACAGTACAATGCCTGATTCTAAAAATTGGAACATATGACACGATTGCCGAATAAATCTCCGGACCGCAATCATCTAGGTGACCACGCCGCAAGTTGTACGTTTCATTGCAATGAATGGGCATATTTGCTAGTCCAGCATAAAGTACAATATGCATTGTGTGATGAAATATAAAATGACATATAGGTGACAGTAACTACCTATTATGTTATACCAGCTCGCTGTACTAACCCATCACGGTTTCGTCCTGTCCTATATGAAAATCTCGTCACAAGCTACAACTGACAAACCGATTGATCTTGAATTCTCACCATCTTTCAATTATATCACATCATTTTTTGGCAAAGCGGCATCCTGCCCTATTCCACCTTTCTTTTTTAATTTAACACAGCACGCAAAGAGATCTTAGTATGAATACTAATTGGAGGCCCCAAAATCTTAGTATTACTAATTAGAGGCCACTCCATGTTAATCCTTATGAGATGAGCTAAAAGAATAAATTTTAGAATATCTCATAAGAATGAGGAAGATCTGGCTATCAATTCAGTAGACTGAAATAGCCATTGATAGTAATAAACATTGGATCCATTTTTCTTTTAAAAAATTACTCACCTATGCTGTTATGAAAAACAGCATAAAATAAGCCCTAAATACATCTAAATTACCCATCTATCCATTTTATGAAACAAAATCTAAAATAAACCATAAATTTACATCTAAATTACCCATGTATCCATTAACATAATCAAAATTAACCTCTCTAAATTTGCATCTAAATTACTACTTCTACCATTGTTAAAAATAAGCTAAACTATCCTTCAAATCTACATGTAAATTATCGACGTCTGCTAATATGAAAAATATTTAAATAACCATAAGTTACTCCTATATAAGTTTATAAATTAACTACTTCTTACTATGAATATATAGAAAAACTAACTTAGAGTAAACATACATATTGTGCATACATTTTAATGGAAATATTGTGACATATAAATTGATAGTATAATTCTGAGCACTATACTTTTTTTATTAAAATACTACTACATATATAATTCCGTGATAAAGAAATTCAATATCTTAAGCATGGAGGAGGTTAGTATGGACAAAAGGTAGCTGTGATCTCACTGGTCATTGAGATTTCATTGGAGTAAATGATGATTGTTAGACTTAAATATTAATATCCTTTTGAGCAATGTTAGAACAATTAATTGGCACCTCATAGATCACACCTCAAGCTTTAACACCAATCTTAAGTGTCGTGGTGTAGACTTAAATGACAGTTTATGGCATCGTAGTAATAAAGTGTGCAGTCTACGGTCTAAAATCCTTATTTTTAATAAAATACAAAATAATAGTTTTGAGTAAAAGGTAGTTTTAATTTAACTTAAGGATAAACCATTTGTAACAACTAATAAGATCAAATTTTGAAAATCAAAATATATATTTATGACATCATGACACATGAGCTGCAACAAGTGCCACCATAACTTAACTAAATGTTTCAATTATATGCATATTGAGGGTAGATGGAGCTGCTATGCTGAGAGAGAGAAACTATGGATATTGATGGATAAAACATAGAGAGTAATTTGTATGTTTATCACGACCGGATAGATATTACAAAGTATCTACATGTACTGTGTTAGAAAATAAACAAAAAAGAGGGCACAATGATAACTATTTTTTTTAGTTATAGGTAGTAAACACAAACTTCTAATGCTTTTGTTTTCTAAGAACATGATGATAAACTAGTGATGCCTAATTCCAAGTCCAGATACTGTGTGGTATATTACGTATCATGTTTTTATTTTTCCTACGCATATACGTGGCAAGGATATTTCGTTGTTTTTTTCCTGACAACAAGAAAGATTTTATTGAAAATGTAAACTTAGTGCGCCTCAGCATCATCGCAATTTTTGAAAGTTCAATTTAGTAAAAAATTTAAAAATCCTAGTAAAAGTACAGATTTGAGTAATAAGGTACGGAATCCATATGAAACATAAAATAATTTTTCACTCCATGGGATGAGTTCTAGAATTAAGATAAATTTTGCTTTTGACACATTTGGAGGTGGAACCCACCCTGGTGCATTTGATCTCTTGGCTGGCTAGCTAGGTGCATGCATATATATGTTACATTCATAAATGAGGTCCATCGAAAACAGTTACCTGCTGTTGCCTTTATCAGCCATCGAAAACAGTTTAGCTAGGAGCATGAGGTCCATCGAAAACAGTTCGCTTGATCATATCAGTCATGCTTATCAGTCATGATATAGTGTTTTTCTCTCACAACAAAACAGCATCAGCCAGCTTATAAGCCACACAAAAAAGCGATCAAGTTTAACAGGATTATGGCCTTAGGATGGCAAAGCAGCTGGCCACACTTGTTGCATAGGAAACGTGTCCGCTCCTCCGCTACCGGGTCTACGAGGCAATTCTATAATTGAGGTGTGTCTTTTTTTTCTTGAAGAGGACCCAGTGCAGCTGGAGTATAAGGGCCTTTTGAACCATACAAATGCGAAAATTGAGGTATAGAGAAAAATATAAGAATTTTGTATGAGTACAGTTGCAAAAAAAATAGAAATGTAAAATATAAGATTTTTTAAGAAATGATCGTTTGGATAAGAAAAACGTAGAAATCCTAGAGAATTTTTAAGCCACGATTAAGTTGTCCATTTTCACTGCTTGGTCAAACATGGCTAAAATCTCTTCTATAACCAACCGATGATAAAGTTGTCCCTTTTCACTACTTGGTCAAACGTGGCTAAAATCTCTTCTATAATCATCCGACAATTGGGCCCCACATGCAAGAACCACCATTAACTAGCAACAGCATTGAATTTTACCAAGGTGTTTAAGAGGAATCCAAAGTTTCCTGTAGTTTTCCTCTAAAATGACTGGCACAGGAAAATTTCCTATGTTACTTCGATGCCCCTACCTATGAACCAAAGTAATGAACAGTAGAAATTCCTATAGGGCTTTCAATCCTACATTTTTCTCCATTTTTCCTATGAACCAAAGGAGGCTTAACTGTATAAGTGTATAAATGAGGATCAGCTTGGTTGGCTAAATCAATTGGATGGGTGATGACCTTCCAACTTTTAGTAGCATTTGGTATGAGTGCAAACATGTTCATGTGACAGGATACCTGTTTGAATATAGTAGTGTTGTGAACGTGATTAGAATTATTGATTTAAACATCGATGTCACGCTACATACTCCATAGATGAACCAAAGGAGGAGTGATCTTGCGTTCCAACTACCACACAGTTCGTGCTCTCTTCAACTCAAATTTGTATATCTATTTCCTTTTTAATCAAAAACCATGTCGTTTTTGGTAAAAAAAACGTGTGTTGTAGACCGAATCAATGTTCTAAATGGAAGTAGGAGTATATAGTATAGTATTGTACTCCCTCCGTGCTAGGATATAAGGCGTAACTGCTTTTTTTCTTAGTCCCATGATACAAGGCGCCTGCACTTTAGCTCCCGCATGCAACAACTAATGCAGGACCAAATTTGACTCCTGGGCTCCCTCGGGAATGCATTTGTGCAGCATGCATGCATGAATGCTGGAAGCTAATTGGCTAGACCGTTTCTGCATGCACGCATGCGGCATCACAGTAAATTGGATGGAGAACCAAAACGCCTTTAATGCGTAGGAGTTAATTTACTTATTGGTCTCGGTGCCAAAGGGAGTTGCGCCTTCTATCCAAAGACGGAGGGAGTATTTCTATAGCTGACACATCAGTGAGGCATCAATTAGATACAACCACTGCAATTTACAGTATCATAATTTTACTTTCTATGATATATCTATCTAAGACAACTAATTGTCATAAATACTGTAAGATATTATGTCCGTTGATACAACCTATTGTAATATCAGTTCGTGCCCAAGCGATATCTAGTGCAAGATAACTATATATGTTCTATGACCTCATTGTATCTTACCAGGCCAGCAAAACTTCAATGTGTAGTAGATGAGTTAATAAGCATGATACCACCCATTAAAAATAGATTAAAGCCTTGTGTGCTTAAGGGATGTGAATTGTATCTTTCACAATTACAAGCATAAACAAATAAGCAGTTTCTCACCTCAAATTTGGGCAATTCAATTGTTAGATTATTAAATCTAAGAATCTGCTCCCAGAGCATAAGGATTGTTATAATCTATAGACCGCTTTCGCAATCTACAACCCGAAACAAATAGGTCTGTGAGTTGGTGTGACTTGAGTAAGATATAGATCGTTGGATCTGACTAAGAAATAGATCACAGCTACAGAGTACGTATAGACAAGATGCAAGTCTCTTTCACTCTAGTGCGATTCCATTTCTGTTCCCTTCGAAGTTGCTATATATAAATCAATCACTCCGTGGAGTCAAGTGACCCAAACACACACAACAAGTGGCTAGTTAGAGTTACTTAAGTTCACAAATATGATCTTCCCCCCAGTCTTCCTAGTATCCACAAGCTGGAATAGCAACCAGAAGGTAATTTATGTATGGCACCACTATTATGTAGATACATATAGTTCCCGTTGCTAATATATATCGTAGACGAACTAAATCATTTATATCTTGGAATATACTATATAAATCGTTCTCTTGATTCATGTTTCATTATCTTAAATTTTTTTGCAGCTGCAGCAGACAAATACTACTAGTAACATTAATATTCCTTCTGCATCAGCTGTTGTTGCTGGTGAAGGCAATCTTCTCCAGTATAGACAAGCCATGGCTGCAGAAGCGCTTTCCCAAGGAGGTGGAAGCCGCGATGGTAGCGCCCCAGCAGCGCAAGCCAACGCCCAACCGAGGTCCATGTCTGAGCGCGCCAAGCTGCTGAGGATACCAAAGCCAGAGCCAGGGCTCAGGTGCCCGCGCTGTGACTCCACCAGCACCAAGTTTTGCTACTTCAACAACTACTCCTTCGCGCAACCGCGCCACTTCTGCCGTAACTGCCATCGCTACTGGACACGCGGTGGCGCCCTCCGCGACATCCCTGTCGGCGCTCCGTACAGACGCCGCCGAGCCAAGGGCAGCAAGCCCAGTGCTGCAGCCACTGCTGCATCGGCATCATCAGCAGCACTGGTGATGACTTCGTCGTGCACCACAAATGTCATCCTGCTCGCGCCCACTCCACAACAAGCTACGGCGAGCAGCAGCGCGTCGCCGCTCCTGCCACAGTTGTATGGGCTCGCCAGCATGGAGACCCCGAATGTTGGCTCGAAATTTTCATGGCCCGGGGCTGCTAATCTGTTGGTGGACTCGGCCAGTGGGAGGGCTGTATCAGAGTCGAAGATGGAGCAGCTGTGGGGAACGCTATCGCAGTCTTCGCAGATGCACAGGCTCCCAGTATTCTCGCACGCTATTGATCAGCAGCAGGGGCTGCCAGTTGCTGTGCCGGTGACAATGGCGACGCCGCCAAGCATGTTCCACCCAGGGTTATGGAGTGGAGGCGACGGAGGCATCTACAGTGGAGGAGAAAGTCAGTTCCATTTGATCAGGAATCGAGATGAGGAGTGCCCAATTTGGGCCATGCAAGCAGATGTGAATGGTTACACTACTTCCTATGATCCTATCCCAGTTATAGCGCAGGTAATTAACCTCTACTCTGTTGCAAAAAACTTTTATCGAAAAAAGCCATCGCAAAGCACCTTTAAATTTCAAGATGTTACTCCCTCCGTCCCAAAACAAACGATTACGCTTCTCGTGGAGTGAAACACTGAGTCTGACTAGTTATATAGAAAATGGTATCAATATTTGTATATCTAAATAAGTTAATTAGGGCATGTACAATGCGTCTGTATACCCCATCTGTGTCTTGCTACTTTTACAAAAAATAACCCTGCTCCACTGTATTCAATGAGGAGAGAGCTCTCATTTTCGCCTCGCAAGGCGACGATGAGTGCACTGCTCCGAGACTTCCTCGCGGTTGGAGGCGCGTTGTATAGGCCCGACTACTCGAGTCGACGAGCACGCCGATTCAGTGCGGTGGTGCACGCGGAGGAAGCCGAGGGTGCACACGAAATGGATTTTTTCGCATAAAATCCACCACTGTTAGCATATAATCCTAACTTCTCCCGGCTGTCTTCCCTACCCACGAGATGGAGGACATCGGCGCATCTCGCGGATTTGGGGCGGAATAGCTTTGAGCACGGTGGTGGGCGGGCGGAAGGGCAAGGTCAAGGCAGCTGCAGCGGCATCGGCTTCCTTCAATCGCCGTGGATCCAGCTCAACAACGGCCCTCTTCCCCGTTGGCCGCGGATCCAGATCGTGAGCAGCCATTTTCCCCGTTGGTCGCGGATCTGGCTCGTCGTCGGCTGTCTTCCCCTTCGGCGCTTCAACGGCGTGGCGGCGACATTGGCTTCTTTGATGGCTGCATCTTCTTGCGGGCGTGTGTGTTGGGACCTGCGTCATCGGCCTATTCCATGGCTCCATTCCTCCCATCGTCTCCTTCATTTGGGCATCGAGCAAATTGTAAAATGTAATCTGCTGCTCTCCTTCTTTCCGTGCACGCATAGCAGGGTGGTGGCCTTTGGTCAGCCACGCTTTCCGATCCTTGCTCTGTAGCAGACATGGCGATGAGGCCATGTCATGTAATGGCGGTATATGTAGTTGGTGTACCTTTGTAGTAGGAGTAAGTAGGAGTTGGTGTACTCGCCATAGTCCCTTGTACCCGGAGGGTACAGCTAGAGTTGTATATATACTCATGACATAGCAATAGAAATCTTTGATTCGACAAGCCACACTTTAGGCGAGAGTTCGCTAAATTTGGTGCTTGTGCTATGTGTGTGCTCTTAGCTCACCCCCTTCTTCAACCTCTTCCTGACCAGTGCGAGTATGTACTGGTGAGCTAATTGCTCACCTATGTAGGTATTCCTCAGGCCAACAAGTGGTATCGGAGCCGTGGTGGGTGATCGCCGGCGACGATGGAGGGCGACGACAGTCAGGGCGGTGGTGAGAAGTCGTCACGGCAGTCCCGATCGCCGGTGCGTCGCGAGATGGTCATCCAGAGGACCATGCGGGATGTTGGCGGAGCCAATTGGCCGGTTCTTACTCACACCAACTATGGAGAGTGGTCGTTGATCATGAAGGTCAAGCTCAGAGCCCGACGACTATAGAAGGCGGTTGACCAGGTCACCTGGGATTAAGAGAAGGATTGCTCGGTGCTGGAGGCAATCCTGGCCGCCGTGCCTCTGGAGTACCAGGAGCCGTTGGGGTCAAAGGACTCCGCCAAGGAAGCTTGGGACGCCTTCAAGGCCATGCGTGTCGGGTCAGATCGCGCGAAGAAGGCAAAGGCGCAGCAGCTGCGGCTAGAGTATGAAGACCTGGCGTTCTATGATGGGGATGTGGTGGAGGACTTCGCCCTCAGCTACAGTCCATCATTAGCCCGTTGGCTGCACACGGCATCATCATGGACGACGAATAGGCAGCCTCCAAGTACCTGCACGTCGTGCCGCCCAAATACACCTAGATTGCTCTCTCCATCGAGACGATGCTGGACATGTCAACCCTCATGATTGATGATTTGACAGGGCGTCTGCAGATGGTGGACGACCTCACAGGGGTCACTGCGACATCGGCTGATGGCAAGTTGCTACTGACCGAGGAGGAGTGGACTGCTCGGATGTGGGAGAAGTGCTCCGGGGAAGGCTCCTCCAGAGGCGACGATGATGGGAAGCGCCACGGCAAGGCCCTACAGCAACAGAAGAAGAAGGACGGCAAGCACATGGGCAGGGACATTTGCCGCCGATGCGGGAAGACTAGCCACTGGGCCAAGGAGTGCCCGAACCCAAAGAAGGAGAAGAAGGCTGAGGCTCACCTGGCGTAGGTGGATGACGACAAGCCAACTCTCCTGATGACAATGTTCTGTGCGCTGCACGACGTTGAGGCAGAGGGGAAACCAGAGGAGGTGGTGGTTGCGGAGCACGGGAAGGCATCACAGAGCATCGACCTCGACGATCCGCGTGCCCAAGTCCTTCTCGGATGAGTAGGTGGTGAGGTGGAGCAGAGGTGGTACTTGGACTCCGGCGCCAGCAACCACATGACCGGCTCCAAGGCGGATTTCGCCGAGCTCGATGGCGGCATGACGGGGTAGGTGAAGTTTGGGGATGGCTCGAAGGTGGAGATTCAAGGCCATGGCACTGTCATTTCCAGTGTCAGAACGGCGAGCACTGCGGGCTGATGGATGTATACTACATCTTGTAGCTGCACTCGAGCATCGTTAGCATCGGGCAGCTGGACGAGCGCGGGTGTGAGGTGCTGATTGAGAACGAGATCTTGAGGATTCACGATCGGGAGCGACATCTTCCCGCCAAGGTAAAACGCTCCCATAATCGACTGTACCTGCTCGATTTGAAGGTGGAGCAGTCGATGTTCCTAGCGGCGTAGCACACCGACGAGCCATGGCTGTGGCGTGCCTAGTTCGGCCACCTTAGCTTCGACGTGCACGGTCAGCTAGAGAAGATGGTCTGAGTGTTGCCCCACATCGAGCATGCAGGGGAGCTATGTGACAGTTGCCTAGCCAGGAGGCTGCCGTTCCCAAAGGCAGCCAAGTATCGCGCGGCGGGCGCCCTCGAGCTTGTCCATGGCGACCTCTGCGGGCCAATCACGCTGTCCACGCACGGCGGGCGGCGGTATTTCCTTCTGCTCATGGAGGATTGCATTCGCTACATGTGGCTACAACTCCTGACGAGCAAGGATGAGGTGGCAGATGCGATCAAGAGGTTCCAGGCAGGGGCGGATGTAGAGTCCGAGAAGAAGTTGCGCGTGCTGAGGACAAATCGCGGCGGTGAATTCATTTCAGTGGAGTTCGTTGCGTACTATGCGGATCAGGGTGTGGTGCGACACCACACCACACCGTACTCGTCGTAGCAGAATAGCATGGTGGAACGGTGGAACCAGACGGTGGTCGGCATGGCTCGATCCATGTTGAAGGCCAAGAGCATGCCGTCAGAGTTCTAGGGTGAGGCGGTGACTATGGCGGTGTTCATCCTCAACCGCGCGCCCACGAAGTCCCTAAAGGGCGTGACATCGTTCGAAGCATGGTATGGGCGTAAGCCGGACGTGTCCTTGCTTAGGACGTTCAGCTGCATTGGCCTTGTCAAGAAGACGAAGCTGTTCCTCACCAAGCTAGAAGTTAGGAGCATGCTGATGGGGCTCCTGGGCTACGAGGAGGGCACCAACGCGTATTGGCTCTACGACCTGCGCGGAGGCAAGGTGGTTGTCTCGTGCGACGTCGTGTTCGAGGAGAAGGCGGCCTAGGACTAGGATGGTCCGGGCACGGGGGAACCTGGCGGCTTCAGCAGCACCTTCATCGTCGAGCACTTAGTCATCTACGTTGGTGGAGACGCAGGAGAGGAGGTGCCGACCACTCCAGCAGTGGATCCGACCACTCCAGGAGTGGAGCCGAGCGGTCCTGCAGCGATGCTGACCACTCTAGGAGTGGTGCCGAGCGGTCTAGCAGTGGTGCCCAGCGCTCCAGCAGTGGGGCCGAGCGCTCTAGCAGTGGTGCCGAGCGCTCCAGCAGTGATGCCGAGCGCTCCAACAGTGCTAACGACCACTCCAGCAGTGGTGCCAAGCACTCCAGCAGCAGTGCCGACCACTCCGGTAGAACAGGGGACTCCCTCATTGACACCGATCGAGTTCACGTCTACTCCAAGCGACATCAACGAGTTCATGGATGCTTTCCATGACGGCGAGGAGGTGCGGTTCCATAGGTTGGACAATAGCATCGGCAATGCAGGGGCCTCAGGCCTGGCGAGTCGGCTGCTCGACGATCCAAAGCTACTTCTCGTCAGTGTAGAGGAGCCGCCCATGTTCGTGCTGGTTGAGCGCGATGCCAATTGGCGACAGGCGATGCTGGAGGAGATGAAGGCGATCTAGGAGAATGAGACTTGGGAGCTCATCGATCCGCCTCCAGGATGTCGTCTGCTCGGGCTGAAGTGGGTATACAAGGTGAAGCAGGATGAGTGCGGAGCCATCGTCAAGAACAAGGAGCACCTCATCGCCCGCGACTTCGTCCAGCCCGAAGGCATTGAATTCGAGGAAGTCTTTGCGCCGGTGGCGCGCATGGAGTCCGCCTGACTACTGATGGCTCTGGCAGTGGCAAAGGACTACCACGTTCATCACCTCGACGTCAAATCGGCCTTCCTCAACTGCGAGCTGGCAGAGATGGTATTCGTCAAGTAAGCTCTGGGCTTCGCCATAAAGGGAGCAGAGCATAAGGTGCTCTGACTGCACAAGGCGCTCTACGGGCAACGATAGGCCCCGTGGGCGTGGCGTGGAACGCCAAGCTTGACGCCACGCTGGGCACGCTTGGGTTCACGTGCTATGCAATAGTGCACGTGCTGTACACGCGGCGATGGGGTCAGGAGGAACTTGTCGTCAGCGTGTATGTGGATGGCTTGATCATCACCGGCGTGCGTGCAGAGGACATCAATGGCTTCAAGCTTAAGATGGCAGCTCATTTTTGAATGAGCGATCTCGGCGCACTCTCCTACTACCTTGGCATTGAGGTGAAACAGGGGAAGGAGGCGCTCACACTCGGTCAGAGCATGTACGCGGAGAAGTTGTTGGAGCGGAGCGGCACGGCTGATTGCAAGCCATGCGCGACTCTGATGGAGGAGCGGCTGAAACTGTCAAAGGCCAGCACCGCGGCAAAGGTGGATGTAACACTCTACTGGAGCATCGTCAGCGGGCTACGCTACCTAGTCCACATGAGGCCAGACATTGCGTTTGTCGTGGGCTATGTTAGCTGCTTCATGGAGGATCCCCGAGAGGATCATTGGGCCACGGTGAAGCGGCTGCTGCGCTACATCAAGGGGACGGTGGATCAGGGGACCGTCTTCCCTAAGACCGGCGGTGGAAGTGGGCTACGGCTCACGATCTTCAGCGACGCAGACATGGCAGGTGACATCGATGGGCAGAAGACCACTTCAGGTGTGCTCGTCTTCCTTGGCTCGGCCCTAATTTCGTGGCTATTGTTGAAGCAAAAGGTGGTGGCGCTGTCTATGTGCGAGGCAGAGTACGTGGCGTCGGCTACAGCGGCGTGCCAAGCCGTATGGCTACGCCTGCTGCTAGTCGAGCTGACCGGCGAGGAAGCTCGTCCGCCAGCACTGATGGTGGACAACCAGCCCGGCATCGCCCTCGCCAAGAACCCAGTCCTATACGACCGGAACAAGCACATCGACATCAAGTTTCACTTTCTCAGGGACCATGTCGATGGAGGGTAGATCGTCATCGAGTTCGTCGAAACTAGTCTGCAACTCGCTGATA